GTTATCCTGTTGTGGACAAATGGTCCCACGTCGCAATGTGCCTTGCTTTTTAGCCTTTTTTAAGGCGCACTCCCTGGAGGTGGTTCAGGAACATCTGGGTATTTGCAAGATGTGACGGTACAAAATGTAAGCAGCTGAGTCAGGATAGAATTGAGGAACCACGCAATTCTGCCTGTCGGACCACCCACGCAACAAGACTATCTTTTGCCTTAGCGATAGAACTTCCATGGTGAGCCGGAAATACTGAGTTGGCACATTGCGGAGTAGTCGCCATGTCCGGCTCTCGATGAACCTCGGCATAATCGTTGAATATTTATTTGCTTTCAAACTTCACACGAGGTTGGTATACACAGTGAACGGCTAACGTTTCGGCACGATTGAGGGGACAAGTGGTGCAGCCAGCAGATAAAGCAGAAACTTCTTGGGAGGGGAAATACCCTTTACAGTACCCTTCATCTCCGATGAAGTAAGCACTTCCATAAGGAAGTGCCCTGAGGAGATCGGGTCTGGAGAATGCTGTTGCGATAGTGGAGGTCCCTCCCGACAACCTGAAGCGACGTCTCATTCGGAATCGTCTCTACGATCGCACATGTGAAACAGCGAACTGCGTAGTCTGTCCCACTGGCAGACCCGGTGACTGTGCGATTACAGGGGTGGTCTACAAAATTTCATGCCAAAAATGTGGAGACGAATATATAGGTGAGACGGCTAGACCTCTGTTTGTGCGGGTTAGGGAGCATTTGGATGGAAAGGCCAGGTCGCGTACCTCGACAGCCCTTGGTTGCCACAGGGTCGAAAGTCATAACGGAGAGGATTTTGAGGTCACGGTCAATATCCTTGCGTATGCAACTCAAACATCCGCGCGCAAAACCCTGGAGGCATTTTGGATTCGGGTCACGAATCCAAAAATGAACCGCAGGGGAGAATGCGTGTCAATTACGCGCGAGCTAACCCCCTATATAAGGTTAGCCTTCCTACCGGAACCTGGATACGATCACGGGCGACAAACCACCATATCGTCGAACACCGGCTGATCTCGTGATCTCAAGGTACGGTACTTGGTTTTTCCTATTAATTATGTGATGGGCTAGGGGGTCTCGAAGGTCTCGTAGGGTAGTATGACATTTGGTCGTTTAAATCATAAATTGATTTCCACTTCCAGGCTCCGAAGAAGGCAATCGTGCCGAAACGTTAGCCGTTCACTGTGTATACCAACCTCGTGTGAAGTTTGAAAGCAAATAAATATTCAACGATTATGCCGAGTTCATCGAAAGCCGGACATGGCGACCTCTCTTCTGATGTTGTTACGCCATTTCTCCCGGTTGAATAACTTATCGGGATGGGCACCAGCTTATCGGGTTGGGCACCAGCTGCCTTCAAATCCGCGTGCAGCGTCTCAGGCCAGCGTTGCCTCGAGCGTCTTTTAGGACACTTTCTAAGCATCTCAAGCTGGAGATCAGCCCTTGTCTGACCACAGCTCTGAAGCACTCTGGTATGATCTTCTCACAGAGAACTCCAGTCATAGAGCACCCATGCTGCACTCAACGTGAGTTCACCTTCAAGGCCAGAATGCTATCTAACACAGTTTCTGAACCAGGATACTTGAAGGTTCTAGTACGTGGGATGCCACTGATCTTAATGGAATTGGACTCGTTTGAACCAATCGTCAAGTACTTGGTTCTTCTGATGTTCAATCAGAGACGAATTTTGCCAGGCGATAAGACCAGGCTTGCACCTGCTGCACGAGTGCGCTCTTATCTTCACTGAGGAACACCACATCAGTCGCGTAGGGAAGTGTCCAAAGACTCTGTCTCGTGAGATGCATCCATGACGACCTACGAAAAAAAGGGAGAGCGCAGACGCTTGACCGATGGCTCGACCGTGATGGGAAATTCCTGTGACGTGCTTGTTGGTGCTTTGAAGCGGCTGTCCGAGCCAGAGTACAGGATGCGCACCCACTCAATAAGCTCTTCGGGAACGCCGTGTTGCCGCAAGGCGTACCATATAACTTCACGCGGAACACGGTCGAATGCCTTTTCTAGGTCCAGAAAAGCTAGATGCAGTGGCATTTGCTTCTCGCAAATCTCCAGCAGAAGACGATGGTGCGGCATATATGGCGTCGATGGATGCTACAGCCTGCCACAAAGCCGCACTGATTGATAGAAAGCTGGACGATTTCACGAACACGACTGTCAGGAATTGCTTAAAAATCTTGACAGCAGGTGAACTGCAGTGGCGTTGAACGTGCGACCGATGTGTCGCCGTCGCGAAGTTTTAACACTGCCTTATGTTTTGTGGCAGCAGGCGAACTGGACGGTAGTTCGAGCAGTCGCAGGGCTGCCCTTCTTCTTCCAAATCGGAATCGTCGTGCTCTCTTGCCAGTCCTTGGGCGTCTTCTTCTCAGCAACGACCTGATTAAAGAAATTTGGTAGCCATCGTACCAGCACCGTAACCTCAAGTCGGCTGCCACATTGTCAGGTCCTGTTGCTTTGCCTGACCTGATCGTTCTGAAAGTCGACTCTGTCGCTAAGCGCAACTTAACATACGGTTAGAAGCTTTTTCTCTCAGTTACTGTAGCGATTAGTCATCCGCCGCTCAAGTTCTCAGCCTCTTATCTTTTGGCGGATCAGTGAGCAATGCTGCATTATAACGCTTCTGAATAATCTTTCTCTTTAGATTATGCTTACATACTTCAACATAAATTTTGGTATAAAGGAGGTCGATTGGATGATTAGGACGGAGTCTGGTTGGAGCCGTTCAAAACGACAAACACCTAAGCTGGTGGCTGTAGACAGTAAGATATCGAGTTAACTGCTTCACGCCACAAGAAGCAACGCAAGGCAACTTCGAAAACGAAAGAAACAGTCCGAAAAAATAGGTAAACTCCAAAAGAAAGATAACCAAAAATCAATACACCTGATCCGGTGGCACTGCTCTTCTTATAGTGTACCTTGCCACGATGGTACTCGCTACCTTCGATAAATCAATAAATAGGCACACTACTATAATCGATAAAAAAAATGATAAGTCTGGCACCAGTATAAGAATATCCACCGATATGAATACCAGTCAGAATGCTTTAGTAGAGACTTGCAATGAAGCGAATCATCCGAAAAGTTTCGAAAGCTGTCCAGGAATAACCACTCACAGAATAACCACCCACAACTTGTCAGAAAGAGGACGTCGAATATTTATTCTATGAATATTTATTCAATTCCCAGTATTCTAAGAGGATCTAGTAGGGAGAGGTCAGCAGTCAGCGTAACCAATTAAACGGGGCTATCCCATTGGCAAATATGCGGAGGTGCGGAAAAGTAGTTATGAGGTCATCTCAAAATAAATGCGCACACCCGAATGGCGCGGGGTACGCAAGAAACAGGCTGAACTTCCACATCTAAAGTTGATTGAACTACTACTACAGATAACTTTGGAGGGCGTTTTGTGGCATCGGTCAAATTGCTTCATTTCAATTTGGCTCGTACAGCGGTCAGAACCATGAAGATGACGGGATAGGCGTTGGGATACTCGTATATGTTCCAGTTAATGTCACCTCATACCAGCTATAGAGAATAACCCCAGCTTGATCCACATATATTTCTCGTTTTCATAGCATTAACACGTTTTTGTGGTGGTGCGGAGGCAAGCAGTAGCTAGAACGTAGCACGAAGTTGAAGGAACGGGAAATTTTTAAAGATTTCCGGACAGCCTCAACTTCGACTTGGCTCCTTTTGCCTTCTATGGAGGATCATCCGTCTCTACCGCAATCTTAGCGTCCTGAGATCACGGAATCAGTTGTGTCTTCCTGCTTACCGATGTCTTTTCAAAAGAGAGAGGGCCAGTGGGATCAGCCGGCTGGAGCCGGCCGATCCTCCTTCTGCGTGCGAAGTCGGTCTTCCTTAGTCTTCCCCACACATTTTCATAAGAGAGAAGGCCAGTAGGATTGAGTGACCTCGCCGGCCAATTCTTCATCAGCGTGTGAAGTGGGTTTTCCCCCCACACAGCTCGATCCTCATTGTGGGTGTGACATGAGTTTTCTCCCACATACTTTCCAAAGAAAGAGGATCGGTCGTCGGATCAGCGGGGCTCGCGCCGGCCAATCCTCCTTCTGCCTGCGAAGTGGACGTTCCCCACACTTTTTCAAAAGAGAGAGGGCAGTAGGCTTGCGTGTAAAGTGAGTCTTCGCCGGGTCTGCGGAGAGGCCATACCACTTGAAAATGTTTTTTTTAGTTTCCATTCATCGTATATGCCTCCCCCGCAGCAGGTAGTACTTTGATTAAAGCCGCGTCCACTGCAGTTGCATATGCTTCCCGTCCGCCAACGCAGTTCCTCTCGTTACCCGCTTTTCCCGCTCTCCAAGCTTACTTGAAACTGAATTGCAAAATTCTGATTCGAGCCCTGTTCACAGCGGGTGTGCCTCCCTCATCTCATCCGCCTATTCATTCCCTATCGCTTCAAGCATTAATCACTTTCCGGGCTCTTTTGGAAGCAAATTGCAATTTTTTTATAGATTTTGTGCAAGCGCCGCTCATATTTAATACGCCCCGAACGATGTGAGTGCTTCCACTTTTCGTCCGCGACCTGGTTGCCTATCGTTTTCCTCGTTTTCCATTCTACGAGCTGTTTGGAACCGAATTACGAATTTCTTGAATTTTTGTAGCAAGCACCTGCCCATCTATAGCACGCCCCGCCCATCATGGGTGTGACTCCCTCATTTCATCCGCCAACTGATTAACTATCGTCTCCTCACATTTTCCGTTTTCCGTGAATCTAGAACCGAATTACGAATTTTCAAAATAAAAGACTACTGGCTGAAAACAAGCTTGGTCCATAGTGAGGGTTTAGCTCAGTTTATGTGGGTTCTGTACTTGGTCGTGCCCTACCGATCCCACCCTTCACAAAGCCCCTCAAACTGTCTCTTTAAGTAATGCCCAATTTCTGGACAGAATATAGTAGGATAAGATGGAAGATTTCAGAAATAACTTAATGAATCTACAGAAGCCATGGAAGATTTCAGAACAGCTACGTATCTGATGCGGCATCTCACTCGTCTCTGCAATTATACTTCGCTTACCGACATGACGGCGAAAAACTTAGCCATAGTTTGGGCACCTAACTTATTCAGGTACTGATTATATTTATGCTTATATGAAGTTATGACGTAGACATGGATATCATTCATTACAGAGTCCCTCCAGCTCTCGACAGTGACGACTCTGTGCTCGGTGGTCTTGACGTGCACACATCTCTCTGCAGTTATCTAATCACAAAATCATCTGAGATATTCATTGACAAACTTGCAGGTGCGCAAATATCTCGAGTACGGATATCTCCACTTATACGACTTTTGCAAAGGGTTGAACCAGTGGAAACACTTTTTCATTAGGAAACCTTCAAAAGAGTACAAGATAATTTTTCTGACCCTTTTAAATCGTTCTATTTTCGCTCGAGCAAGTGTTTTCTCATAATGATGGATTACTTTGCTCTTGTAGTTGATGTGAGCGACGCGAAGGCGAGTCGAATTCCGCTTCATAGCGCTTTCCAGGACGAGGTGTTGAGCGTACTTTAGTCATCTGCGCTCGCAGAAGGCTACAGTACGCACGACACAACACTAATAAAGGGATGGTTTCGAAGTCATCGATAGAGTCTCGAATGATAGCAACGAATATGCAGGTTGAAATCGCTACGGGAATCTCCCTAACCGATTCTGGGTGGCCATTTTGTGCTGTAAATGCAGTATTAGTACGTGAGTACTGCTGAGCGGGAAGAATGCCGTGGCAGTGCACCCTAGTGGTAAGGGTCTCGTTTCTAAGCCAAGAGGTCGCGGTTGCATTGCGTTGATGCAGAAAATTTTTCAAAAACTTTTTCGTCTTTGTCAAGGGCATTCACTCCAATTTCCAAATTTTTTTGTCCAAGTTAACGGTCCAGTAGAACAAGTGGATCAATCAGGTCAGCTTTATGATGTAGCAGCTCAAGAATGGAGTTGTTCACTGTCTGCCTTTTGTCACACTCACTACCCAAAAGGCAGTTCGAAGTTTCAAAGTCAGATACATAATTGGCTGGAAACTCGTTCCTGATAAGGGGGGGGGGGTGGTATTTTGGTCAATTAACACGAATATCAGGTCCGTTTAAGGGGAAAACGATTGGCTCCTTCTTCACAGGTGCTGACCACAACAACACAGGTGAAAAGTGCCTGGTGCCGGCATTTTTGAGGCGAGAGTTTTCCAGCTTCGTTAAACGGATATGACCTTCGTATTAGAAGTAAAACTACTCCCGTTACTTTCTGGCCAAATTGTGATTCTGATGCCAACTTCGATATGTCGGAGAGTGAGTGTCATAAGAAGCAGGTTAGTGACCAAATCCATACTTGAGATGTTACGTCATTTACTTGACC